CTTTGTATGTATGGATCACTTGGGTTGTTACCAACATCTGGTGAAAATTTCATGTCATTAGCACCTCTAGTAATATATTTACTGTGTAAAATGGTGACGTGTTCAATACTTATTTTACCCGCTGTATCTACACATATGCATCATCGATTTAATCCAGAGCTTTCTCTGCTTTGCCCCAAATGTAAAATAGAGGTGAGTAATTTAACTCACTGTCTTTGGTCCTGTAGGAAAATTGAACAATTCTGGTTCAGTTTGAAGAAAGAGTTGGACAAGATCTTCTCCATCAGCACTGAGTGTAATCCAATGTACATGTTACTGGGAGTGACAAACAACAGACTTAAGAAGAACTGTGAAAAACATTTGTACAGGATGCTTAGATTCTGCGCCAGGAAATGTGTCCTCTTGAACTGGATAACAGATAAGGTTCCATTCACAACACAATGGCAATGGACTGTCCTTAAATATGTGTCGTTGGACTTTTTTAACTAGAAAATTACACAATAGAGAAAACATGTTACATGATATTTGGGATCCCTTTATACTGTATACTGGTCTGATATTTCTGCTATTTTTTTCACGTAGCCTTACATAATATACTGTATTAATGAGTTTATTATTATTATTATTTAATTTTTTATATTTATTTATTTATTTATTTTTGAATTGTTGTAATGCTCATATTATTGTGTGGAAGTATTTTTTTGTTTTCTTGTCTGTATTAAAATGGAAAAATAACTAATAAACATATGTTGGAAAAAAACATAGGAGCTTCAGATTTCTTCTGTTGTTTAGCTCTGATGAAGCTCTATCCAACAGGCCCACCAATTAGCAAGTGGCAATAATGCATGTCACAAATGGCTACATGATAGTACACCCAGGGCCAGTTAAACTGAGCATTGTGTCTGTCAAAGGAGCAAAAAAGTATCCAATCTATTTATCGTTTATCTTCATGAATACACAGAATATACCATTATTAGAACAAGAGCTGGGTGGTATGACCTCAAATTCATGGTAACAGCATATATTGCAATAGAAAATTATCATAAAAAACAGATAGTGTAATTTTTAGAGCTTTTAGAGCATTTATTTAGCAGAAAAATGTAATCATAATCAAACCTTTTTTTGCTGTAGTGCAAATGACAGATATACAGAATAACAG